CCAGCGGGCCAGTTTTATGTTGCGGGCGTCGTAGCCATGGTTCGCGTGGAGGCATAGGTTTCCCCGAACCGGGTTGAAAGACTACAACGAATTAGACGCTTCATCGAAGCCTGTGTATGCACAAACGTCTTCATTAGCGTCGAAAGCTGTTGCACGACGCATTGGCGCAGCCCTAGCTGCGTGCCCAAAAACGACAGCGTTTGTGGCGCGCCAGCGGTGGCAACAATACAGATCCCGAGCGCGCCCCGTATTCCGGACTACTGTAGGCACACGATGAGAGCTCGTGTTCAATCTTTGCAGCATGCAACGACACAATAACGCCGTTCTTAAGGCAGACGAAAGTGTCAAAATAACGTGCACCGCTAGACGCAGGATTTCACTCGTAAACAATACTCTTGTTCAAGGTCTTGGCCTACTTAGAAAAGAAAAGCCACTCAGCTGTTAGCGAAAGTGGCCGGTTACAACACACGGAAACGTCTCTAACGAATGCCTGCAGCAACCACACGATCCTACACTCGAAGTAGTACTCACTGTGATGTTGGCGTGTATTTCGATTTTCTTCCCATTGCGGCCGATAAATCTGCAAGTGAGTTCATCCACTGACGCAGCCACAACTTGGAATCGTTCGTGGTTCTTCGGGAACGAAGCTTCCAATGCCCGGATATCTTGCTTGAGACTGTTTAGGCAGGCCATTTTATCACCTCAGGAACATGACAACGTCTGTAGCTGGATCGCGAATTCGAAGAATGGAACTTCAAGGGACTGACTTTTGACACATCCTACCCACTTAGACAATATGGCGGACTCTAGTAAAATCACAGAATGCGCCTGCGCACAGCAGCGCACTCTCAAGCCCAGTTTCCCCACTGACCGTGTGAAGAACGGCGAGAACGGCACGAAGCAAACAAGATTGAAAGCTAGGGCGTTGAGGGCGTGGGGGTTTGCACACTTAAGATTTTGTTTTTCAGCGCATGTGCTCTTTGTTCCGGCATTCCATCAGTTTGCGTGTGCGCTTTCCATTTCGCTCTTTCCGGAAGAGTCGTATCGAGTTGACGGAACGAAACTGGCGAATTGAAATTGTTGCGACGACAGTGGAAGCGCTGTTATCAATTTATGTACCAGTGTACCAGGCAGCTTATGAGAACGACAGCAACATCGGCCACGAGTGCTATCTTGAAATGACTAAGAAACCGCAGCTTGTTCTAGCAAATTCGGTGATCAAGAGTAATCGATTGCGATATCATGCTATACAAATGAGTTCTGAAGTAAAGACAAGACAAATGTGTTATTCCGTGGCATAGCCTCATGTCGTCTTCTATTATTAGAATGAATATGCGCGTTAATTGAGTTTATGTAGATGTAGGTCCTAAATGTTTGGTTCACACCCACCCTAAGGGATTGGCCAAGAATCGGGTAGCTTAAAAAATATATGGAGCATTCGTACAACGCTGGCGGCAGCTGTGTAATGCAAGTGCCTATTAAACAGGTTAAGATGATCGAAAAAGGTGTCGTACATGTGGCTGTTCACATTGTCAACCGGTTTTATCTACTATATGACGGCGCCGTCATTGTTAAAGAACCTTTAAAAAATACTGCTTTCGATTTCTATGTTCATAGAGGGGTTCCTTTGGCCCATTAGAGCTTACACGAGAACTACTGATTAGATTTTATTGAATTACACAGGTTTAATTAAATTCAATAGATAACAACATTTGCAAAATTTCATAAAGTTTCATGAATTTTTTTTCAGAAGTTATGACTCTGTACCTTTTAAAGTACGCTGTGCTCTCGACACAGAAACAGGAAAGCTCCTTTTATGAAAGAATAAAGGGACTTGCCTAACAAATATCAAAGTCATTTTGGCCCATGCTACTTTTCGAAGGACCAGTACTTTATGGAAACCATAATGCCACAGTATCAAAACACCATTTCGATATATTGTGGCAGACATCAATTGTTTTCCAAGCTTATTGTGGAAATGCGCCATACAGATAGAAGGCAGATTTCTTGGCAGTTCTGTTGGGTACAACAAGAATAAACTGTCATTTTGTCAGCATAGGAACTATGCTGTTGCCTTTGGCCTTTATGAAACGAAAACTTGCTTACTGGATCAATACAGAAACTATATTCCCCACATTCCTTTTGTCTCAAGTTTTTTTATTGCTGCCAGAGTGCATCCATTCGCAACGTCATTCCCTTCCTTCCTAAGCTTTTATGTTAGGGTTAGAATCGACAAGGAAAACATCAACGGTCTCGTGTATTCACAGTGACATGTGCCAGAGCCTCGTGAGTCTCTGATAACCAAAAACACGCACTCATTTATAGGAAATAGTTGGTTCCATTTCTGAGACAACACACAGCAATAGGCACATGTGTGCTCTCAGGAAGTCCCATGGTACTATGCAATCCTTGAGCTTTGCAGGAATTTTGTTCTTGCTGAAGCACACACAATCCATTTTTGAAAGATATAAACTGTAAAAGCTCAAAGCAATTGAGAGAGAGGAGTACTGAGCATATGCATTTGACAGGCTCTCATTTTCCTAAACTTTAGCAACTCATAGAACAGAAAAAATAAAACCGAGTCAATATAACAAGTTATCTTGCTGCAACCTTTGGCATAAAAAATGCCAATGAGCAAGAAAAGAATTTGCTGTTGCATATTTTCAATTCCCAGTAAAAGGAGGCGTGCTTTATCAAGAACACAGGGCCTTGATGTCAAATAGTTGTTTGTTAAGTGCCTTGCTATTGTATATGATGGTCAGTGGAGTACTTGTAAGGGCTCTTTTCTTTTGTTAGACATAATATGAATGAAAACTAATAGACAAACGTAATCTTGTAATTAAATTTAGCACAACTTGGAGATCCCTTGAAACACTCGCACATTCACACAGTCTTCCACACATGAAACACACACTTCTTGTGTGGAAGAGTGTGTGAATGTTTCAAGGAATTTCCAAGGTGCACTGAATTTACTTGCAATGTGATGAATTGCCAACTATTTTAAGAAGCATTGATCTTTTTGTCCACTTTACTTTTTCACATATGCATTACAGTTACTACTAACAACGTCCCCTTAATTAGCATTATTGCCACTCCTCATTCTCACTGTTTTATGAAGGTAAGCAACAAATTTAATATCTTTAGCATAATGATAATATGCAGCCAGTTCACATGATTATATATAGCATAATGGTAATGTACAGACAGTTCACGTGTCAATATAACTGGAATTTCATAGGTGCTGGTAAACAATTTAGACACCACCACAAATTTTTATTTCATTATTTGTCAGCAAAGTATTACTGTCGATGAACAGATTTCAATGCAAAAAGTCAAGCAGGTAGACGAAATGTGCATACATCATGTCCAACATCACGTATATTGTTCTTGATAAAATTGCAAGTGGCATGGGCTGTACATAATCAGAACAGCACTCATACGTTATGCTCACATCACTAAGCACTGAAAGGCATATGTCACCTTTGTAAGTGCAATACTAGTCTGACTTTTTTTTTGTAGTTGTGTTTCTTCTAGCATTTGAAATGTTGTCCTCTCCATATTGCAAGTTTTGCAGCTTCAGATTGTGCTGTTAATAATTATAACAACATCCACGACTTTACCACCATTTAAAGCTCCTCCTACGAAAAAGTTAATGCCACAAGGGAGCAATGCCCACACCACACCAGCAATTTAATAGTACAAAGGCCCCAAATTCCCTAATTGCAATGATTCTGATTCTTGCAAAGTGACCATATTTACCAGTGCTATGCACCAACATGATTATATGTGAAGGAGCTACTCAGATGTTCTCAGGACCAAAATAAAGTTTTAATCAATCAATCAATCAGATGTTTTGAGCAGCAACCTACATATTCCAAACAAAAAAAAATGCAAGTTAAATAGACAATTCGTAGAGAACTTCGCCTCCATTATTTCTTCATAGGAGTAGATGTAAACCCACCATAACTCAAGACTTTAGCCATGTAGGATAGAGCTGTAATGACCAGCAACATGGTACTGTGTGTCAGAATTGGGGGTGCTCTAACAAGGATGAATCATCCTCAACCTGGGAAAAGCTGCAAAGAGTGCTTTATGTCCTTGGAAAAAAAAAATGCAATTTTGAAAGAGGCGATGTCTGCTGCCCTACAAGGTGCATGCCACTGAATGACATTATTAGCACAGGAAATTTGTGTCAAGGAATGATGCCTCCAGAAACTATGAGGTACAGGTATTAGTGTATGAATGCCCACACAAGTATAGCGATGCCACTGAATGGTCTCTATTTTCAGGTGCATTTCTATATGGCTGGACAGCCTTCAATGTATAGAAACTACAGCACCTTGTATATATGAATGATGTATTAGAGACAAGACACTAACTACAATGTCGTGTGGCAGTGTCAATGCAACTCCTATGATGTGGATTTTAAAATATGTACACACAAAAGGAAGGGTACCTAACAGAGTTGCTTGAATCATAGCTACAAAGAAAAAAAGTAGTGAGGTTCTCCACAACATCTTAGTTAATATGGCATGTATTTTTCCCCAATCCTCTGATCGATACTTTGACTCATGCAGTGGGTTATCAATGTAGATTACCGTATCATCAATCGAGGTTATAGCCAAGGTGACCGATGCAACAACAGTACAGTTCTTAATAAGGGTACAGTAAGCCCTATTATGACAAACTACTGATATGCTAACATCTTTTTGTGGGCATTAATTAATGCATTTGTCATAGCTGGACTTATAAACTGTTAGTATGAAAGTTAGGATGAAATTTAAAAATCCGAGTACAACAAGGATAAAGACTGTGATTAATAATGGCAACAGTATTATCTTTATAAACAGCCACTTTTGTGACTTTCAGGATGTCGCGTTGGCTGGCTCGGGAAGTGGTAGTGTATCGTGTGCATTCCAACAGCATTCACATTCCAGGTACGTACAAAACTCTATAAACTACGTTCATTTGGGGTGAGGATGAAACATGCAAATAAGGCCTTTTCTGAGACTTCACTGTTTATTTGCAGCAATAAATATTTTGAAGACACTGTAAACAGCTAATTAGCATCTGAGATTTAATTACACAAATTGCATACTGTAACACAAGCACCGACAGAACAATAGCAGATGAACAAAATCAACCTGAAAAATTGATATGACAGAAACGCATGCTGCATCTTGATGCTGTTACGTAAAACTACAAGGACCCGACAAAAATTCATCACATACCAAAGAACTTATAAAAAAGATAAACTCGCGTTAAGCTCACCAGGATGCAACTTTGTTACATTCAGAGATAAAATCAATAAATAATACACTGAAAAAATAATATTTATGCATTGTTCAACAGTGAGGAAATAGATACACTGTAGCAATTGTTTAATATATGAAAGTGACAGAAATTACAAAAAAGAGCAGAAAGCAGAAATGTGATATCCTTATACTATACACCGAAAAGGGGTAATTCCCTCCCTGCTTTGTGCCTCTTTTATTTAAGCCACCGAACTTTTCCTCTCCATAGAGCACATGATACTTCTAACAATCACAGGAAAATATAACATGTATATTATATGAGAATAAACAAGAGCCTATGAAGGGCTGTCTATTATGTAAGCATCACAGTGTTGTTACTTATATATTAAAGGTTCTGAGTACTAAAATACATTTGCCGTTCGAAAAAAAATGAAGAAGGCGATTTAGCTGAATTGAAACGCAAACATGCTTGTGGCAGTATACCAGTTTTGACAATTATCTGGTCAGCCAAGCGAGCTCAAACTGATCTTCAAGGAGCACTGACACAAAATTTCGAAGGTGAGATAACGAGTGAGATAATTTTATCTAGAGACATACACAACACCTACGAAATTGCAAGGGTAAATATAGCCTAGAGAATATTTAAAATCAATTTCAAAGTGCATGCTGTGCAAGGTGCAGAGCCCCACGCGATGCGGACATCGCTGTGGGGGTAGTGTAAACAACACTACGGCAAGAGTTACTGTTGGCTGTTTGCTTGGCATGCAAAGACTGCACTTAAGCTACCAGCAACTTCCTGCTCCGTGCGAGCAGCTTTGCGTGTGCTAGCTGTGGTGGCTGTCAGTGCACCACCCACTCGCGCCTGAGGCACCTACGTCACAGTTTTGCATGGTCATGTGGCTAGCCATGTTTACCGTGCTACCGAAACAGCTCCTGCCCAGCTCGGTGTTCTTTGAAACCGAAGCTGCAACTGGGCGCTCTAAAGACGTCTCTACATACCAGCCGTTAACTCAAGGTTTCCAGCCTTGAGTAGTGGGTCACAAGCTACTTATTGCAACAAGTAAACAAGGTGTAAAATTTCTGTGTCAGTGCTCCTTTCACACCAGGAAACAGTCCACCATCTTCATGTTGCATATCTGCACCAGCGTCTAAATAAGTAAAAGTTGTCGCTGCAAATAATTAGGCTTTTAGTAGCATGGCTACACCACACAGCTGCTCATTTGACAAGGCTCGTTTAACACCGGGAATACATGAACAACCTAGACCACTTTATTGAGAAGAATCTCCACAGGGAAATTGGAACAGAAAGATGATAAGTGATAGTACAACGCAAAAGTTAATAACATGAAAGTAGTGGCAGAAGCTTTGGTTTATGAACAAGATGTTGATACGTTTACGTCAAAGCACAGTGAATAGTAAACTTTTTAGTAAACTTTTTAAACTTTTAAATCACATGTCTCAGAACTCAGTCGGCCCCAGGCCGTGGCAGAGGCCGCGTTCGGCCGCCGTGCATTTCCACAAAGTGCACAAGAGACCGCGGGATCTCGCCCGCATGATAACTGAGTCCGTACTTCGCCACGGCACGTGCAGCCAAGCAGCGCAGAGTCACCTGTGTCTGAGTGCGCAGAATCACCTCTGCAACACCCGTTGTTGCCGATTCTGCCGCTGTCTCTCCACGTGCGTTAGTTGCATCCGCATGCACTCCTGCCTCGATCAAGGCTACAATGATAGAGTGCAATGTGAGAAAGTCACTGATTGGCTTTTGGTACGTGACGATGGCATGCAGGGGTGTGTTGCGCCTCGCATCAACTGCGTTCGGATCAGCGCCGCAGCGGAGGAGCAGCCGAGTTGTGTCAGTGCATGGGAAGTGGCAGATGTTCTTAGTATGAAAATCGTCCACGGGTGTGTCGGCACTCACGCATAGGTGAAGCAGCGTGCACCCCTCTCTAGTAACCCTGTTAGAACACAAGATAACGATACTTAGAATGTAGAAAACGAATAGGCTTAACATGATTTTGATGGTGCTACCGACTTGTACATAAAGTAAAGGTTAGATCAAGCATAGCAACTGTTTCATTGAGCAAAATAAACGATCAGGCAGATTTACCCATACAAAAAGATGAAACACCTAAAAAGGGAGAAACACACATCAGTGCTGCGTTTGTCTGTTCGTGTGTTTGTCCCTTCTTAAGTGTTTCGTCTTTCTTCATTAATAAATCTGTCTTAAACATAAGCCAACTCTTCCAAGCAGCAGTTTTAAACAAAAAGGCTTATGGTATTTTGAAGACACTGTGGAGCGTGACGCACACAATCTAGAAGAGATAAATAGACATAAATCTAGCATAGAAAAGACAAGCAAAGTTTGATCGTCAAGCTAAGAGTTTCTAAACTTGCAATACACCACTTCACAGTATGCTGGGCCAGCAACTAACCCAGCAGTCCAAAATGTATGATGAAGCGATTACTGCACTCTGGTGAGGTGTAAACATGTTGCTGCAAGAATTTTGCGAATAAGCACTGTAATTAGGAGCTTACAAATATAGAATAACCACCTTTGGCTGGTTTCAGTTTTTTGCTCCGCCCTTCTCGGCACCGAAAAAGGTGCATAGCCTGTTTTTGTGACTACCCACTTCAGCAACTCGGCAAAACATCAGCCCTTATGTCGTTGGTGCACAGTCAACCACCAAGTAAGGCTTTCTCCATGTGCTGCTTGTGGTAAAGCCACGCTAGGGTTACCATAGTAGCACGGTGAAGAAGTGCAGTAAATGCACGACCAAAACTGCATCATTGCAGGGTGCACCATTTCATAGTGCAACGCACCTATCGAGGACGTCTCGGCTGCTACCATGGGCGACGTTAAGTGACATTGCGGAGGGAAAGGACTGGACAGGTGCTGGAGAGGAGCGTGGCAATTGTTTTTCAAAATGGAGCATCAGTTGTTACAGTGCTGTGATATTCATGAAATGAGACTGCTGTGGCTTTCTGCACAAATTGGCGAGCTTGTTTTGGAATGTGAAAAACAAGTCGAGGGCTGTTTACTGGCTTTTTAAAGACTTTTTTTTTTTAATCTGAGGTAGATTACAATCCTCAGTGAAGAGGAACATTAACCATTCAAGTTCTGACATTAAAAAGCTTGCAATATTTTTTTTTTCAGCTATTTCTTCTATAGATACTCACCGGCCCAACTGCACGAGGCGGTAGATGAGCCTCATGAGCTCGTGCTCCTGACTGGCCGAAGAGTAGCGGAGCTTGCCCACTACCACCAACAGGTACAGGGAAGTCAGCATATTGGCATCATTGTCCTCATCGGAACCCGACTCCAGTTCGTGAATGGAAGCCGACAAAATCTGGGCAACTGCACCTGGTGGCACTTCAACTCCAATGTGCAGCATCTGGCTGAAAACCTGGATGGGGTTTGAACACACACCGGTAAGCTTCTGGCAAAGATTAGAGAGCCTTCATGTGCACGCCGCCTCTGTTTCTTTAGGGTGGTGTCAGCCTTTGACCCACCACTAGCCGCCGCCCACCAAAACACAATGTTGCCGGTCCAGGTTCCCATGGCAATGGGGCAACGATAGTGCCATGTTGGTTCCGGCCAGTTGCCGTGTTGCTCCACCGTATGCACCAGCTGCAAGTTAGCACGGGTGTACAAGCTGTGGTATGCGCTGCGTTTCACTAAACCACTGTAGACCCAGCTTCTGCTATGACACCATCCTTGCGCTAAGTGCATCTGCAAGAATTTCGGAGTGAAAAGGCCAGAGTGCTGCGTTCCGCAATGCAAAACCATCTTGACATGGGGCGTAAGAATGTTCCACTTCCTGACTTTCTCTAGCTGACGGAAACGCAAGTGAAGCGAGATTGCTGGGAGCCGACTACTTTTTCCCATATTTGTGAGATGAGTATCATTGTATTGCGAGTGAATTGAGTATATCCGCGCATATTTCATGAAATGATCGACTTAGTCACAAGACGAAAACCAGTCTGCCCAAAGTAAACGCGACGACTTGCACACTAAAAAAAAAAAAATAGGTGCGGCTTCATTTGGCTGTGCGGGTTATGTTAGCGAAAGCAGATTAATTTGGGTATGCTTGTTTATAACGTAATCGAAGTGTAGTTCACCGATCGAACAATACAGCTAGTCAAACATGTCATGTTGCGTGTATTCACTACCCGCGTTTCATCGGTTTCCAAAGCCTTTGCCGCATTCGTCGCGAGAAACACCAGGCCCGTTTACTACCAACAGACGCTCACGTTCGCAACTTCCTTTGCTGGCAGATGTGCCAGTTTCTGCTTTCATCTCGATCGCTGAGGAACACCATTTGGAGAGGTAGACAGACGAGCCGACGAACGCGTTCCCTGTAGACTCTTGTAGTCTTGCACAACTGCAACATGACTAAATTTTGCATGGCTTTTCATGGGGTATTCATTCTTCGCTTCAAGTACATGCGAAAATACACACAGAAACTCGCTCAACGATGCCAAAAAAAGCTTTCGCTTTAATAATATAGACTGTGACCAGTTTATTGTTCATGTCTGCCTGACTATCTGTACTGAACGCTTCAGTATGTGTGCACTAAGGAAGCCGGTTGTTGACCTATGACTCAAATATGCCCTAAAAGAGATTGGTGCTGCATCGAAATTTTTGTAGTCCTTTTGTTTCATAACAGGCTACAAAGAAGATTTGTTATCAAGAACTGCGTGGACACAAGCTCCTAGCAAAGGAGGCAGGATGGTTTGAAGAAGGTAAGGGCAGATGCGATTCCGATGCTGTTTGCAATAAAATAGGATTGATTGATATGTGGGGTTTAACGTCCCAAAACCACTATATGATTATGAGAGACGCCGTAGCGGAGGGCTCCGGAAATTTAGACCACCTGGGGTTCTTTAACGTGCACCCAAATCTGAGCACACGGGCCTACAACATTTCCGCCTCCATCGGAAATGCCGCCGCAGCAGCCGGAATTCGAACCCGCGCCCTGCGGGTCAGCAGCCGAGTGCCTTAGCCACTAGACCACCGCGGCGGGGCGCAATAAAATAGGACCTGGAAAAACTTGGTTTGCCAACCCTTGTTGCTCCCCTGTCCTTTTCTCCAACATAATTTACAGGCTTGGTGGGAGGAGGGGGGCTGGTGTATCAGTGCTCAACTAGTTCCTGCAATGCTAACCACTTGTAAGGATTTTAAGCAGTCCATTGTACGGATTCGTTTTCAGAAAGTAAACTTCCTGCAGGAAATTATACCACGGACAAAAGCACTATTTAGCGCACGAGAAGCAGGTTATCCAAGTTATGCGGCGTGCAGTTGTTTGATCCGCCTTCCCCGACGTTATAGGTATCGTCATATGATACAGCATAGCTTCGAGCCCTGCGCTAGGACGCCTTTGGGGTGCCTACAGAGATAAAGTGACTTTTGCTTCAGGGATTGAATTCTGTTCACAGTGACATCGAAGTTTTGCCCCTCGCAAATATAAGCTCCCTAAAATCATCACTCTACCAATGTGGCGGGTGTACCAGCTGCGAAAAACGAACTGTTTTCATGGTATTTCATGGTTTTCCTGTTCTACAAAACGGCGGCTAACTTCAGAGAACAACCCTCTAACTTTCAGAACTTGAGATATAAAAAAAAAACACCCCGTCCTCATTGAAACTCATGCTACCTTCAATGTAAACGAGCTACTGCTGATAACCAACATGGCGGTCCGTCAAGTACGGCAGCCATTATAGCCTGTAGTAAGCAGAGATGATCGAACTTGTCACCACCCTAAAAAACGGAGGCAGCGCGCTCATGAAGGCTCCCTAACAAAAATAGTCAATCACATATGGTGGAAAGTCCTGTGAGCACAATGAGGAATTGTCAGGTGAGGTTACAGAAGATAACGAAACACACAAAAAAAATAAAAAGAGAAAGACATCAGTTCACAAATACGGAGGAAAAGTGCTATCTCAAAACTGAAAATTGGTGTAGTGAAAAGGGAACAAAAGACAAGCAATGACAAAGCTAAATTCTTTCGTTAAGCATAAAAAAAAAAAAAAACAGCAAGCCCGAGTTTAAACACTGCTAACTCAACCATACAGATTTTTCGTTTTGTAATTTTAATTCTGGGGTCTTATATGACAAAGCTACGTGATTATATGACAAAGCTACGTGTCAATTCAATTCAATAAAATTGAATTGAATTGAATTATGAGGCACACTGTTATGGAGGACTCAGGTTTAAATTTGATCACTTGGAGTTTTACAACGTGCCACTAAAAGAATGCAGGTTGTTTTCGAATTCGTCTTCATTGGAATGTGGCCGTCGTTCACATCCCCGAGCTCACTAGTGCAATACATTAACAACTGTGATACCCCGAAAAGTAACTAAAAAATTATTGCAGATAAGAACTAATATTATTCACAACTGACATGTAAAAACATTTCACAGGTGTGTCCAGTCAAATTCTTTGGTAACTGTGCAAGACAAAAAACAAGCCCAAAATTTGGAAGAAGCAACTAGACAAGAGTGGATCCATGCCATGTCCCATTGCTCAACCAACTTGCCCAAATATCGGCTCAGGTACAGCCGCCTATTTTTTTCAATGTGAATGTGCGAGCGTTGCCAACACAGTCGTTAAGCTCAGTATAACAGAGAGTTGCGGCGAAATGAACAAGAATGCACGCATGCAGTAAACAGTCTGTGCAGATGTCTTCTGCTAGGCTGTTCTGGGAACTGAAACAGGGACGCCAGGAACCAGCGCTTATTCACTCGCATGTCAACACTCACACGTTCTGGATTAAAAAAAAAAAAGGTGGATGAACGTTGGAAAGCTTGCAATGCTTCAATGTGAAGTTCTTAAGTTCAAGCTGCACTTGTAGAAAGTAAAAGAGATCTGTATTAATGCAATCCTACCTCTGGGTTCACAAAAATATAATGCTCAGCACTTTGTCTTATGTGCTTACACTGAGTGCAGCTCATATTTCATCATGAGGTATTTTTAACAGTTTTCACAAAGATGTTGAAGACAGTTCACATTGCAATGGAAATGATACAAAGACAATATATACTACAGGTGCCTTGCCTACACAAGTCAGTTGCACTGATCGCATGTTTTCCAAACACTGGAATTGCATGTTGCCAGCAATTATGATGGAAAAAGTATAATTTTCTTAAGTAACAAAACAATAACACAAGCAGTCGTGGTAGCAGTGAGACACGCTTCATTCTATGCTTAGCAGAGAAGTTGATGTACGACACTACTGTTCCTCTTTCGCTGCTGAAGTGCACATGTAGTTCGAGCTTATTATGGATAGAACAGGCAAGTAGTACACATCCAAACACAAGATTAATATGTGCAATGAACTGTGAAATGCAACCATGCTGTTAAATGTTAGCATGACCCAGCATTCTTAACTGAAAGAGCAATTTACATTCACTGCTCTTATACTGAAGCAGCATTTGGTATAAGGGGACTCCTCTACTTACTTGGGCAAATCGCAGTAGGTCCTTGCGGAGAGGAAGTCTGGCAGCTGATCTCAGTCGAAGAGCGTGCAGCCATAGTTGCAAGCAGCGATCAAATGCTGCACTGTCAGCAAACACTGCACCCCTGCAAATTGAGAGCAAAGAAGAGCTAGAGGCCTACTATCAGCAACTAATGACAGCTAGATATATACGAACCCACACACTTGAGAAAACGGGCGTGGTTGAGCAACTGTGATTCCGAAGTAAATTTCTCATATAATTCACTCAGATTACAAGGTCAATTATCTAAAGCTGACCTTCTGGATAAAAACTATTGATTCTAGAGGTATCCCGGTGCCATTACTCCTCTTACGTTGTTTGCATTACACGAATTCTGGCAACAATGCTTTATCTTCAGATGTTCATCACCCCCCCCCCCCACACACACACACACAGCATGAAATTATGTAAGAGATGCCTCATGACACTCAATTTAGGGTGCCTTTATGAAACTTCATAGATACTACAGAGAGTAAGGAAAACAGTCCACGAAAAATCACACTTGAAGCACAAAGCAACAATACTTAGAAAACAAAATCGAGACTTTTCACTTAATACAGCCCATTTTGTACAAAAAAATGCCTATCCGTATATATTCCAGCCATGCCTACTGGTACTTTCCCTTTTAACATACACATATATTTCCCAAGTGTAACATCCTCATGCAATGCCTTACCTGTAGCCTATGAAGTACTCTAAATAAATAACGAAAGCATTACGTAGAAGAAATACAGCAGCATTTAAGTACAGAATGTGTCAAACAGAAAATGCTGACACTACTAAGAACACAAAGAGAGGAAAACTAGTAAGAATCTGTTACCATATTATCAGTAAAAAACCCACAACAATGGGAAAAGAGAAACCATTAGCACACTTTGTCCAGGTCCCAACTGGAACAAACAAGGCGATTTCCTGCACCCTGTAGCTAGGAGGTTACGGCTACATTGCATCCTGTTTGCGCACCCATTCACCAGAAGGAAAGGACATGGCTGGATGATCAGTTCACGCACACCTTTCATTTGCATGAACCATTCATGTTTGTTTGCCACTGGAGCGGCAGTCATGCATTTGGCACCCGTAGCTTTCACTGGCCTGGCACACGTGTTATGGAAATAGCATTGTGTCAGCAATGCACTGGAAAGCATTCGCAGTACGATATACGAGTGCACATAAAACGTCTATTATATTTGATAGAAAGAACCCAATAAAGCCAAGAAATGCAGGGGTGTAGTAATTATAAGACAAATGAAAATTAATTAAAGTGGACAAAACAACTACTTGCCATTGCTAGGAGACAAACCTACAATTTTCAAACAACTTTTGAATGCGGCGGGTACAACGCTTTATTAATTTCTTTTAACTACACTGACCTAGGATAACACAGAATAAATATACAACACTAACTTATGAGCACGTTGTCCAAAATTTGACGGTCACGACCCATGCTAGTACAGTGCCAAACTAAGCATATTTAAATGTTTAGGACACAACAATGACAATGTACAGAAAAACACACACACACATACATGGAGCACCTGAACCTCATTGTGTCTGATGTTGTTATGCCTCACACTTTTAAATATGCACTTTTAAATATCAGACATGTCCGATAATCTATTCTTACAAACTAAGCAGTGCCAGGGGTACATGTCACCTCTTTCACCACGCATGTTATATTTCTTGCTCAATAGTTGGTATACACGAGAAAAGGTACCCAAAACTTGCTGCTATGTCAGTGCAATAACGAATCTAAGAAGTTAGAATTGACAGCTGTCAATTGAATAAACCTCTCAATTTCATTAAAACAGACAGCTTTAGCTTTGTTTGCTTTGTCTGTTGTTTAATATTTATCAGGCAAGCTGTGCCAATAAATATTGGGAAGTAACCTGTGTGCAGAAGGCCAAGTTTCTTCTGCCTCAGGGGTGATAACACATGCAAATTCACCAAAAAACCACTCAATGCCAGCTTCAACATTTAAATGACCAAGTGCCATAAGCCGTGAAAAGACCAAAACCCTCATTTCCACAGAAAAACTTGTTCGAGGAATGCAAAGGATATTGCACATAGAAGCAGATGGTGGTGCATCATTTCCTTGTCCAGGTTGACATTTGTGCCACATACTATTGATCCTAGAGAGCTTGCTTTGCTCTCCTCTTCGTAGTAGCAAAACCGAAAGTACCCATACTGCTCACTCATGATGCATTATAGGCTTCTAGAATGTTTCTCACTGCTTCACCATTAGTGAGCTTAAATGGGCCCTGCAACACCTTTTCGACAGCTTTATTTAACACCAGAACACGTGTAGTTATGATTACTGATACGAATGCGACAAGAATTAACAAAATTGTTGCACGGAAAGGGAAGCTATAAGTCCTCAAAAGTTCAAATCTCGGGCAGATGGTGACGAGAAACATTTTTTATCGCATTACACTCGCCTGCTGACGTCAAAGTCTGCTTCCAATCATGGCGCGCGTTTCGTAAAAACATAGCAAAAAGGTCACCTCATGGTGGCCTTCACACAATACCTCGCTACCGCTCTTTTTGATGGCGTCGTTAGCATGGTTACTACGAACCACGTGCGTCGGATAGCAGATGCTACCACGGTCACACTGTGTGAGATACACACATACTCTTTGGCGGTGTCACTTCTCGGCTTGCTTGCAAGACGCGTTCTATGACAATGCCGGAGCCCACCTCCTGTTGCATTTTTGGCACGCTAAAAATGTGCCATGCGTTTCCACCTTCTGTTGCTGGCGTACCATAGCCTCGTTTGCAGGCTAAGTGTTGCGTTCATTCTGAAAACACATCATTTAGGAACAAGAATAATTTTTTTCTGAGAAGTGTAAAAAGGGTTTTGCTGTTTTAGGTATTCACTCGTATGGTCTAGCTACCACCATATGAAAATTGCATGCTATATTTAGCATACAGCCAATAAAAAGCCAACGGTTTTTGTCTTCACGTCACATGACCCCACATCACTTCCCATAACAAAAATAACCGACGTGTGTCGTCGTAGTCGGAAATCAAGACAGCTTGTCCCGTGAATTGAAATTATAATAGGGTCGATTTTGGCGTTGCAATTCGCACAATGATATCAGCGCGTTCCACAGCACCAGAAGAACTAATGAAAAATACATTCTCGAACAGTGTCGTAGGGCCCCACACTCTGGACTTCAGCCTTCAGGTTGCAAGCGCCATTGCTAAGGCCCATTGTGCCCTTAGTTTTGTGTCTAGAGTCTATTAACTAGGTAGCCCCACTACATTCTCCCTTCTGTACACTCAGCTTGTGTAGCCTATATTTGAATAAGGCTGCAACGTATGGTCACCCAACTAGCAGCTCAACGGCTGGATCGAAAGTGTACAAAGAAAACCCTAGTGCACACTTCACACATGATCGGTAAAGTCCCCTGCGGCGGACTTTGCTGCCTGCCTGAAGATGCCGAAGTGGTGTCCTCTGTCGTCTACTCGACGGCTCCCTGACGGCCACCCTCTTATTGTGGGCAGTACGTGTGAATAAGCGGTCAGGTCAGCCGGAGCTTCTCCACAGACAAACAAAGCGCCACAGTTCCTCTACTGTCCCAGCGACCAAGCATGAGTGCTCGTGTACCTAACCTACGATATGCACATAACTGTTATCGCATAATGTCCCTACCAATAGCATGTTCGTTAACAAGTACTGCACGGCAAAACGAGCCAAGGACAGAGGTAGTTAGAGGGAGACTGGCAAAAGAAGGTTGTGCAGGTGTACTATCGGCGTCAAATGAAACCTGAACAGCGGAGCGGGTGTTCCAAGCATTAGAAACAGTATAGTGCTGGCCGTCCATGTCCTCACCATTGACAGGCATGCACATCCAGTTTGGCAGCACTGCACGATCCCCCTAGAGTGTGTTATCTTCGTTTCTGCCCTAGTTTTCGTATGGTGATAATGGTGGCCATCGTGGGCATGCCAAGCGCTTTTGATTGTATCACTCCTTGCTTGTCTTGACTTGTGGGGTTTAACGTCCCAAAACCAACATATGATTATGAGAGACACCGTAGTGGAGGGCTCCGGAAATTTCGACCACCTAGCTTCCTTGCTTGTATTCCTTGCTTTTACTTCAGCGTCACAGTGCAATCAGTGTCTTGGCAAGATAAAACAGAGAGAAATATAATCTGTTTGCGGTTGATTTTCAAATGATCGTCGTATCTCGTTCGCCAGTGCTGCTTCACCTGCACTCTTTTTTCAGAGACCGACTGGAAAAAGCTTCACTTTCACTGGAAATGCAGAGCATTTCTTCGGAAGAGAGTGCACAAATTGTTTTGCTCTACCGGCACAAAGTGAAACAGCGTGAAATTGCCAGCATTGTGAACCGAGTTTTGTCTACTATAAATAGAATTTGCCATGCATTCCGTGATTATGGACTCTGTGATGACAAACCGTGCTACAATACTCGCCTTCAGCTCTAGTAGTTTAACCTCTGTATTTTTTGCCGTTTTCAGATACCACTACCATACCTGGAACACAAGCAGAAACACTGCACTTCAGGGGGATCGCGCAGAGCTGCCACACCGGATGTGCGGGCCCGCCTGTGTCAATGACTGGTGGTCGGCGCGCACTATGCCATTGATAAGGCTTGTGCCACGCGCTCCGCTGTTCGCGTTTCATCTGATGCCGATAGCACATGTGATGCACAAACAGAATATTTCGATGACATTACTGAGAAGGCCATTGGGAACCTAGACAACTAAGCAAACTCCACGTCGTCGCACCTGTAGACAACGTGGTGGGGCAGCTCCGGGTTGTGCGGTCCCAGGATGCGCTCGCGGATCACCAGGGACTCCATGTGCAGGGCGTGCGGGTCGTCCCTGATGCTGTACAGCTCGTCAAGCGTAGCGCACTCGACGCGCGAGTCGTACGCGGCCACAACTGGGCCGCGCTCTTTGAGAAGTCGGGGCTCGCGCTCCCGCTCCCTCATGGCCAGCTCGAGGTAGCGGAAAGCTCGCTCTAGGCTGTAGTTGTCCTTGTCGTTTGCGAAAGACGCGCCCAGCAGTTCGAGTGCGTCGACCTCCTCCCGGCGCGTGCACCACGGCTGCTTGACGAGGTACTCCACCACCTCGGCCTTCGTGCGCTCTGCGGCGGCGAGCAAAGGCGTCATGCCGATACCGTTGGCCAGAATACGGGCGCCGCCTTCCAGAAGCTCGCGCACTATGTCCAGGTGCCCGTGCTCGGCAGCGAATTGTAGCGCTGTCGCACCGCATAGCGCCTGCGTGTTGGTGTCCGCACCGCGCGACAGCAAATAGCGCACGACGTCCAAGTGACCCTTGTAGGCGGCGATCATGAGACAAGTGTTGTTGTACTTATTGGGAATGTGGATGTCGGCGCCGTGTTCCACGAGGAAGCGAACGATGTCCAGCCGCCCGTCGAAGCTGGCCGCTCGCAACGGCGTCGATATCGTGCGCGTCGGGTGATTCACGTCAGCACCGCGCAGCACGAGTAAGCGGACGATGTCCAGGTGTCCTGCACCGGCCGCGCACCACAACGGAGTTGCGCCTTCGATGACGTATCCGTCGAATTGGACAGTGCCTTCCTGTTCCAGTCCCACCGCGCAACCGAAGTTTTCGAGCAACGTTTGCACCACCCGCCGATGTCCGTTGCGAGCTGCGATGAGCAGAGGTGTGCATTTTTGTTCCTTGTCCGCCACCAGAGAGCTTAGGTAATCACGATAATCGCATTTCGGTACGCTGGCTAGCAGGGCGAACAGAGTCACTGGGAGACCCTCGCGAGCGGCACAGTAGATCTTGGAGCGCAGAGTCTCCTTCGATTGGTCATCCATCGTTGTTTGCGGCAAACAAGGCTGCCGGTACCACTGTGTTATTATATACTGTTTCGAAACGGCACTTAACAATGCTGATTAGGCATTATTTCACGGACGGCATCCCATGTTCCGACAGACCGAACTATTCCATGATCGCGTATGTGACTCTGACGTAATCAAAAAAAAAGGGGGGGGGGAGCGCAAGGGGGGAGAAGAGCAGCATGCGACCGACGCGCCACTACAGGACACTGCGCCGTGCTCCCGACCGGGTTGCAGAAATTAGGTGCCTTTACTCATCTTCTAACCACTACCACCACCACCACGGTGGTACCACGGCCGCTGGATCAAAGCGCACAGTCCTCCAATGAGGTCGTGCACTGTAACGGTGGAATCGACCAATTACTCGACATACATACTAATAAATGACGTTCCAGCTATAGAAATGTTTACTTTATCAACGTTTGCTCACGCACATCTTTCAAGCACGTTAGTGTAAACACTCAGAATAAAGATTTTATTATTGCTAGCACAATTATTACTAAGTAACATCACTTTAACTACCTGTTGGTAGCGCTTCTATTGGTTGCGCGACATGCTATCAAGCAAAGCGTTTTGCGCGCGCGCTGTTTAAATGTAACACCAGCGCCGATTTACGGAATATACTCGTATATTTATACGCCAGGGCCTTACAATGTGTTGGAAATGCACGTGCCCTGAGGTAGCTAGTGAAGGAAGACGACGACGTGGACACAGAGACTCACGTGCATTTCGCCAGTGTGGCGTTTGTATGGCTGTGTGGCTTCAGCGTTTTTATTGAGAGTTTAGTAAATTGTTCTTCTATTACAATGTCTCGTGTGCTCCTAGAACACCGCGAAGACTACTAATGTTGAAAGAACTCAGTGTGCAAGAGTGCACCAGGGGCGCAGCCATAGACAGCAATTTAGTGCCCTTGTGCTACGATGTTTAGAAAGGTGTGTACTTGTGTATATTCTGACACCTCACCGAATATATGCGTGCACCTATTAACAAAGTAAGGAAAGCCCTAGGAGAAATGTAAAGAGGCAAAGCCGCTGGTGAAGATAAGGTAACAACGGACTTGCTAAAATATGGCGGAGAAATTGTGTTAGAAAAACTGGCCACCTTATATACGAAGTGTGTCTTGATGGGAAGGGTACCTGGTTCATGGAAGAACGCCAAGATCATTTTAATTAATAAGAGAGAAGATGTCAAGGACTTGAAAAATTGAAGGCCGATCAGCTCACAATTCATTCTCCACAAACTGTTTACAAAAAGAATAGCTAATAAAATTATGGAGACATCAGGGTTCAATCAACCAAAGGACCAAGCAGGATTTCGTACAGGCTACTTCTACATAGTATGATAGTATTCATACTATCAATCAGGTAATAGAGAAATGCACAGAATACAAACAGCCCCTATACATTGCTTTCATAGATTACGAGAAGGCGTTTGACTCAGTTGAGACATCAGCAGTAATGCAGGCACTACGGAATCAGGCCATCGACTAACCCTACGTAAACATATTGGAAGAAATCTACAGTGGATCCACAGCCACCAGTCCTTCATGATGAAAGCGACAAAACCCCAATAAGTTTAAGAAGGGTGTAAGGCAGGGAGACACGATCTCTCGAATGCTATTCACTGCATGTTTACAGTAAGTTCTCAGAGCCCTAGATTGGGAAGAGTTAGGGATAAGAGTTAATGGAGAATATCTTAATGGAGAGCGCGTAGACAGGATAACCGCTGGTCATTAAGGGTTCCCACTAACTGGATTCCCAAAGAAGGCAAGCAAGTTCGGGGGAGACAGAAAGTTAGATGGGCAGATGAGATTAAGAGTGGGTATAAAATGGCAGCAGCAAGCATAGGACCGAGTTGACTCGCGGAACATGGGAGAGGCCTTTGTCCTGCAGTGGACATAGTTAGGCTGATGATGATGATGATCTGAGTAACCTGCGATTCGCTGAGGACATTGCCTTGACGAGCGACTCAGGGGACGAATTGCAGCTGATGATTACCGAACTGGTCATGGAAAGAAGAAGAGTAGGTCTTATATGCACAAAACCAAAGTAATGTGCTACAGTCTCGGCAGAAAACAGTACTTTGGGATAGACGGAGAGACGCTGGATGTTGTAAAGGAATATGTATACTTAGACAGGTAGTAATCGCGGAGCCTAACCATGAGAGTGAAATAACTAGAAGAATAAGGATGGGTTGGATCACATTCGGCAAGCATTCTCAAATCATGAATAGTAATCTGCCACTTACCCTCAAGAGAAAGGTATATAACAACTGCATCTTGCCAGTACTTACCTGAGGAGCAGAAAGCTGGAGGCTTACGAGGAGGATTCAGCTTAAACTGAAGACAACGCAGTGAGCGATAGAAAGAGCAATGATAGGTGTAACGACAAGAAGAGAGCAGAGTGGGTAAGGGAACAAACTGGGGTTAACGATATCATCATTGAAATCAAGAAGAAGAAATGGACATGAGCCAGGCACGTAGTACGTAGGCAGGATAACTGCTGATCATTAAGGGTAACTGACTGGATTCCTAAAGAAGATAAACACATGAAGAAGAGAGTGAAAGTTAGGTGGGCCGATGGCATTAAAAAGTTCGCAGGTATAGCATGGCAGCAGAAAGCACAAGACCGGGTTGATTGGCAGATCATGGGAGCACCTGTGCCCTCCCTGTAGTGGGTGTAGTCAGACTGACACACACACACACACGCACACACACACACACACACACACGCACACATATATAGTCCAGTCTATCCTCCGTGAGCGGTCACAACGTGGTTAATTTCGACGTTTCGGCCTAGAGTCTGGCCTTCACCAGGATTGGAATCCTGATGAAGGCCAGACTCTAGGCCGTAACGTCGAAATAAACCACGTTGTGACCGCTCACGGAGGATAGATTGGACTATATGCAACGCTACGGCCACTCAACCACCATGCCTGCATATATATATATATATATATATATATATATATATATATATATATATATATATATATATATATCTCGGAAAGCAAGCTTCTAACCCATTTCTCCCATGCCCATGGCTAGTAGGGGCAACAGTAAGCAACCAAATACAGTGCAGGCCACTGATAACGCAACCGCTTATAGTGCAGAACCGCTTACAATGCGGTATTTTTACACTTTTATTTACCCTCCTATAGAACCCCCAAGATGAAAGACCGGTTATAATGCAGTTGCCGGACATCGTTTGTGACAAACGCGGTAGGGAGTGCACTTCTGAGAGGAGGCGCGCTGGTTGCGTCGCTGGGGAGCGTACAACGAGGTCGTTACGGAGGAGGAGGGGAGATGGGGTGAAAGAACGAAGGGCGGAGGGAAGAAAAAGATAACGAAGTAAGACCGCGGGCTCGCCGAGTACGGTTGCCTCAGTGACCGATAAGCCTCTGCACGGGCGCCGACGCGGCTACAGCGTACTACGTCGCTAGTGTGGCTCAGGACGCGCGCCGCTCAACGTGGCACGTGCGATCTCGTCCTTATCAATTGCATGCGCGATGCGCCCAACACTTTCCCGTCGGACAAGACGTCGTCGTTATCGAGCTTGCAACAAATGTCGCGTTTGCTTTCTCGTCCGTAAATTGAAAACGTATTACGGTTTTATGACGCGAGCTTTCCCTTTCGCTGCCGTGCGCTGTCGTTTGTAAGCTCGGAGAGTTGTCGTTGCTGATCTCCCGGGCGCGAACTTCGTATCACGCACGTTGTTCTAGGTTCACTGCTAGTGCGATATTTTTCACGCCGAATCTTCATGTTTTTGACAAACCTTCCGCGACAAACAACATGCCAAACGGCGAGCTAGGCCTAATCGGCATTGGTTGCGCTTCGATCGGTAGCGGTCGGGTGAATCTAACTTCCGCGACAAACAACATGCCAAAGGGCGAGCTAGGCCTAATCGGCATTGGTTGCGCTTCGATCGGTAGCGGTCGGGTGAATCTAGTTGCGGTTAGGTACCAAATCAACGAAACTCTTTGCCGTGGCCGCACTTGACGGGAAAGGTACATATCGTTAATGAAAACGAGGGCGGCACATGTAGAGCTCAAATAGTGGTTCGCGATGCGATGTCTTAAGTCGGGTGCGCGCCCGTGAAATCGAATGGTTGGAGTCTTTCAAGGCGTGAAATTCTGGACGCGATTCGACATAGTTTCTGTGTAATGTGCATAATCGAGGCGGTCTGGTAGTCTGCGAATTTCCGCCATGGTGCTTTCGTTATTTAGATACCCACCCTCCTCCTTTCGCATTCACTTCATTGGCAACGCGTGTCCCATTTTTTCAACATTCCCAAATTTAAATAACACGCATCGCATGTTCCTATTCTCGTACACGCGAAGCTGCATGCGAAACACGTTTTCCGCAAGTGCAGCCCTTGAAAAAGTTTTTGTTTATAGTGCAATACTGCTTATAGTGCGGATATTCGCGACTTGCTTTATAAGCGGTCTATACTGTGTAAAGGAATACAATTTCTAATTTACTGTTCGAGACATGAATACAATGCATAGTACCAACAGCTACTAAATGGGACCTTGTTCTTTCGTACCTATCTTGATGTTTTGCAACATTGGACTACAGTGAACTCCCATTCAGACGAACTTTGTTAAGATGAATTCTTGCTTCAGACGAACAACATGGGAGTGCTTGTTTGACTTCCCATAGACTTAATGCTAACAAAAATCTGCTTAAGACTAACCACGTAACAAGCCTCTTCTGTCAAGACAAACTATCGCAGTGACTAACAATGGTGGGGGTTATGCGCAATGAACATGATGGGGGCATTCAGGCGAACAAGAGAAAGCAAAATGGAAAAAATGGCCCACAGTAAGTCAAAAGCAAACTGCGACGTGGAGGGAGAAAGCAAGATAAGTTGAAATGAAAGGCCAGTGCATAAAGCCGGTCTCTCTGTCACCCCTAGCCTGTAGGTGTAGAATGGTCCAGCTTTATGAGCTAAGAAAGCAACGAGGAGCGTTCCTTTTATATTCTCCTCATGTTCTTCAGTTCCCCAACTCCATTTTATATTCTCCTCATGTTCTTCAGTTCCCCAACTGGAGTACAGTGGAGAACAAAAGAGCTTGGCTAGAGGGGAAAATGCAAGCGAGGGGGGGGGGGGTTAAAAAAGTCAA